GCTTTAAAACTGAGGGACTAGTTCGCATAGAAACGGACAGACGGACATGGCTAGATGGACTCCGCTATTTATTTATTTATTTATTTCTTTATTCGCTATTGATGATGATCAAGAATATATATACTTTATGTGGTCGGAAACGTCTTCTTCACTGCGTTGCAAACATCTGACTGAAATTATAATACCCTCTGCAAGGGTATAACAATGTCGGCAGAAAGAAAGTTTCGCGGTAAAAATTATACCGATGAACAAGAGACAATTCTTGTAGAACCGGTGTCTTCGAAATCGGCTCCGGGAGATTGAATTCTTACATGCGTGCAATCTATGGCTCCAATGATTTTCGGAAACTTGGCTATTGAAGATCTTCAATACGCGGGTACTTCATAAATTGTTTTGAAAAAGACGTTATAGCAAAATGAACTTCCTTAAGAAGCCACTTGCGTAGAATCTAAGAGTTATGAGAAAATTATTGTCGTTTCCCTGTAATAATGGATTTTGACTATATGGAATCAGTAAAATCAAATGAATGCACTTACATCTTTACTTCAGATTCAAGTCGCAAAACAATTTTTTGCAAAACAAATAGCACCGCTTTTTCGCAAGCGAACCCTTTTAACAAATTCTTCATCACTGTAATGTTGGAAGTAATTTCTTTGATCTTGATATCTGCGCCGATAGGTTCGTACTTCAGACAAATCGCTCGGGAATTCGTTTTAAAATTAATTGGATGACTTTAGCAATTTTGATTTATATTTAACTGTAAATAGAATCACCTGTTTTCTAATGAAGAGTGGAACCAGATTGACAACGCTCGAATGTCTGGCAACACTTGCGCACAAGTCCAACCGCACAAATTTGGCACGGTGGATGAAGTACCGCGACAAAATTTGTCGCTACCTGCGCTAACGTAAGGACGAGTAACCCATTTTTTGTTTATCGCTCCGTTGTCCCGGCAGGCAAACTAAATAACGGACGAGAAAACTGCCCTTAATATGAAGAATACGGGTAATTATATTTCGATCATCTATTGAAAGAAAATGATGTTGAATTTTTCTGAGAGGTGACCCTAAAATTTGTGTCAATTTTGACGTGAAATCACCCATATCTGTTATGTTCGGAAAATGACACACAAAGTACTATACAAATGTATAATAAATGAAAATGATTGATACGCACAGTGTACTATTCCTTGTGTATTATACATGTGTGAAATAAAATGTGAAGTATTCTATTTAAATAAAAGACACGAGAAAAATACATGTATTTTATTCTGACATGTACAATACGTCGTGTACTTTATTTCTGACATGTACGAAATAATTTCGATTTCGTACATCCCTGTTATGTTAACACTTAACATACTTGTTAAAAACTTGTAAAACCATAATAAGTAATTTTATGTATTATAAGTATTATTATAAGTATTATTATAAGTATTATTATAAGTATTATTGCTGTACAGTATACCAAGTGTACACTGAATGATATTAAAATTTTATTTTTAAAATTTGGATTTAAAAAGTTATAAATTGATTTTTATTCTACAATCCTGAATTCTTTAACTTTCTTTACCTATAAGCCACACTTTTATCAGAAACAAAAGACCATATGGGACAACCATGTTTTCATATATAAGCTGATAAATTCGGTGTTCCATTTTTCGATTATAATTGATAAAGATATGAAAATTTAAAAATTAGTATTGGCCATGGTGCTTGAAATTGGTTACTTGATTAATTTATTTTTCATTCATCTTTATTGTCTGTGTCGGTGTCTACATTTATGTTTATTGTGTCAATATTGTCGTTTAAGAACATAATTTGATTAACCATGTCTTTATTTGTACCAATTTTGCAACGTTTGTCCGAAATTAAATTTTTTGCAATACAAAACGCTCTTTCCGACGCTGCACTGCTTGCAGAAGCCGCAAAGATTTTGCAGCTTTTTTTAAAAAGCAGTGGGAACTGATCCTTTGAAGTGGCCCACCACACCCAGAAAAAAAAATTACCTTGATTTAATTCCACGTTCCTTAAATTAAGGAACGATGGACTAAAAATGGCTAAATAAGGCTATACATGGACTTAATGGTCTAATGGTCTAAAAAGGGATGGACTGTTACATGGACTTAGATCCATTTTTAGCCCATGTAGACTTAAAATGCATATGGGAAGAAAACTTTTAAGTCCATGTATAGCCTTATTTAGCCATTTTAAAGCCATTATTCCTTAAATCAAGGTCAATGGACCTAAATTAAGGAAATTTTTTTTTCTGAGTGCATTGAAGGATGTCAAATGTGGAGTTGAATCCAACGCGTACATTTCCGTATAAGTATATTTCATTATTAATTTTTTCCGAAGTATTGCGGTCCTCGTTGGTTGAGAAATTGTCCGAAAATATGGCATCTATCTCATGGTCGGGTGAAGGGATATGGTTTTCCAAAGAATCAGAAGCATACAAATTTATAATGGTTTTTATGTCGCCAATTGTTTCCTCTTTTTCCTCTTCGGAAAACTGGGACAACTTGTTGGTTTACGGGTTTAGAAATAAAGCCATTCTATGGAACTTTGTTAAATTTTGGAGAACTCCACTTTGAATAAGAGTAAGTAACTTAAATTTGGTATTTTGAATAATTTCCGGATCATCTGTGTCTAAACTGCAAATTTTTCGTAAATGATTAATATGTAGAATGGCCAAATGCAATGTTGGTTCCTTCGTAGCTTCTAATTTTTTGGATGCCATTTCAAAATGAGACAGTAATTTTATAAGTTCCCTCAAGTTGCTCAATCTTATTTCCGCTACCTTTTCCATTTGGTTTTTGTCTTTTAAAATATTTATAATTTGAATCCAGTTTGTTTCTATCGATTTAATCAGGTAATATACGGTGTTCCACCGTGTTGGGCAAAAACTTTTAAGGGAAATGTCCAAGCTGAAATTCATTCCAACGAGCTTACTGCATCGTTTAACCAATTATTCTAGTTCTGGAACTTCCTTTATTGATTTATCAATTATATTATGCAATAAATGGTTGATGCAAAATATATGTGGTAGTCCACGAAATGCCGATATCATGTTTGAACCTCGATCTGTAACTATGATAGGTTCGTCTAGTTCCAGGTCACATTTAAATTCGTTCAAAATTTTGAAAATTTTTCGTTTTATTCTTATGCCTATGGATATTCTTTGTTAAAGCAAATTTGTTGCTGTGTTTTTACTTACTGGTACAAGATTCACCCTTCATTGATTTTATTGCCAATAATCGATTAACTAAACTCCCTTCTGTGATAAAATTCATGGTAAGCGATAAATAGGACGTTTTTAAATGGTCGTCAGTCCAAATATCTGTCGTTATGCTATAGCCGTGACTTTTATTTTTCAGAATTTCATTTTTTATCTCCGTGAAGTAGTCGAAATAAATTTTCGATATGTTTCTTGAGATAGTGGTTGGATGGGGCAATAACTTATTAATATTTACATTTTCCCCAAAGGTGGCACCGACTTTAATGAGAAACTGCGCTACCTTTTTTAGTCCTGAGTCGTCAATTATATTAAAAGACCGTCCATTTTTTAAAGTCCATTCCGTTATAATTTTTACTCCGTTATGTTTTGTTGCCAAATCCACTTCCACTTCTTCTGGCCCAGCTGTCCTCATTGTATTATCTATTATGTAGCACTTATGTTTTACAAGGTTTGAAGTACTTTTTTTTAAATCGATAAACATTTTTGCAAGTTCTGCAGCACACAACACTTTTTAACTCTTGTCCTTTACGGTCATCAATTTTCCCAAAGGTGTTCCATACCTTGCTGCTTCCTCGTTTATTGGTCACGGTGTATTCTCCACTAATTATTTTACATTTTTTATTTGCCATCTCGGTCTTAGACAATTCCAGTAAATGTACCACAAATATAAAAATTAACCATCAATCTTACAAATTTGATAATTATTCTTACGGTTTCCATTTCCATGCTTACGAAATTATTTTCATACAGTTTCAATATTATTGTTGTGAATGACAGTAAGCACACTACTGTTCATATGAAATTTTTACTGAACACCTTTTTTATGAGGTGTACAGCATGAAAATCGATGAATGATCGTAGCATTCATTTTTAAGGTGTACTCAAAAAAGGTGTACTCATTTGAGTACATTTAATCGTGTACAGTATGTATAATACAATTTGAATAGATTCATGCAGGAGTCTAGCTCGTATAACACCATCACTAGAGGCTTAATTATACAATATTAAAAACCATGAATTCTTAAGGAGATAATGGTCACTTGTATATTTACTCGTACAACGCTATTACTTGTATATTTACTCTTACAGCGCTATCACTTAGAGGATTTAACATGCAAGGTAAAAAACCGCGAATTCTTGAGATGATATATATTTATATATTTACTTGAATAACAGTATTCCCAATGGCGCTATATCATAAAAGATGAAAAACCGCCAATTCTTCAGAAGGTGAAGGCCATTGTATATATTCACTCGTTTAACTGCATAACCAATTGCGCTTTATCATAAAAGATGAAAAACCGCGATTTCTTTAGCAGATATGGTCATTTATATAACAGCATCACGGGAAATAGTTAATGATATATTCTCTGTTAAGTATAAACTAAACAGTAATGTACGAAATCAAAATTAGTTCGTACTCGTCAGAAATAAAGTACACGACTTATTGTACATGTCAAAATAAAAAACATGTATTTTTCTCGTGTCTTTTATTTAAATAAATACTTCACATTTTATATCACACATGTATAATACACAAGGAATAGTATACTGTGCGTTAGACATTTTCATGTACTATACATATGTATTGTTTTCCGACCCCTGGAAGGAAGTAAGAAAAACAATAATAACTTATAATCAATATGGGTTTAAATATTTTTAAATCTGCATTTATAAGCAATGATATTTAAACTTCGGCTTGCGGAAGTTAGTTTATTTTCTTGTTTTATAATATTGTGGAAAAAATTATTTTTTATTTAAAGGTGAGGATGAAAACGAAACGCTTCTCAGGCTGCAAGGAAAACTTGATGAACTTCCAGAGTTCTTAAATACTATGGAAAACGATCTGCAAGACGCAATAAGAGAGGGAACGCGACTTGTCTCCGAAATTCGTAAGCTAGACTACACGCTAGATAAATATCAGACAAAAAAGTTTCGCTGTGAGGACACCATTTTAAAGTTGGCGCAGGATCACTTAATTACCGACAAAGCAACTGCGTACCGTTTGAAACTATTAAAAAAATCTCAGGAACGACGTCGTAATGTTGACTTATCATTATCAAAAGTTCAAAATCAGTTGGCATCATCAATGCTTGAGGTCGAAAAACTTAGATGTGTCGTCTTTAATGCAAGAACATTTAATGATAGTATAACTAAAAAATTGAAAAGTTCTGAAGATAAATCATGTACACTGGAAAATGATTTGAAAAAGATGCACATTCAAATAGAAATTAAAATGAAATTGTTCGAAAAAGTGAGCAACAAAATGGAACAGATTCAAAAATTATTGGGAGATGCATCTGGTAATCCTACTAATGTGAAGGTAAGCGTATTATTTTAGGAGTGTATGTCACAACGCCCTCGGGCTTATGGCCCTCAATTTTTTAAATATTTGCATTACCGTTTGTTACGATGTTCTCGATGGGTTTCATAACAGGTATATCAGATGTATTATTGCCCATTTTAAGGTATGGTTTTTAAATTGTCAAAAAAATTGTGTGTGCACTAAAAATAAGACTCTTGGAAGAGTTTCATAGCAATAGCTTTACAACTTAGATACTAGTTCGCATAGAAACGGACAGACTGACATGGCTAGATTGTCTCGGCTTAGAGGTGATCAAGAATATATCTGTTTTATATGTTCGATAACGCCTCCTTCACAGCGATGCAAACATCTGACTGAAATTTAATACCTTCTGCAAAGGTATACAAAAAACAAGCACTATAAGACTTTTTTTTACAAGAAAGGAAGCTAGCTTCGGTAAGCCGAAGCTTATATACCCTTGCAGATCATTCAATTAATTTATAAATCGCCAAAATGTTAAATTTCCTATTATTTCACATTAATTTTTCGATCGTTTCTATGGCAGCTATATGTTATAGTAGTTCGATTTTTTTAAAATTTAAATCGTAATTCGGAAATATTTAAAAATAGTCATATCCCAGAGTAGAAGAGAATGTTATAAAAATCAACAAAGATATAATTTTTTCCTATTAATTTCCATTTAATTTTTCGGCCGTTCCTACGGCAGCTATATGATATAGTGATCCGATTTTTTAAAATATTTAATTCGAAATTCAGAAATATATAAAAAATAATATTCCCAAGAGTAGAAGGTAATATTTGAAAAAACAAAGCTAGAAAAGCTAGAAAAACGAAGCTAGAATTTTTTTAACGATTCCTTCCTATGGGGGCTATAAGATATAGTTGTCCGATCCGGTCGGATCCGACATATGTACTACCTGCAATAGAAAGAAGACTCAAAAACTGAGAGACCAGTTTGCGTAGAAACAGAAGGACATACGGACGGACAGACGGAAATGGCTAGATCGACTTGTCTAGTGATGCTGATCAAGAATATATATAGTGACATATCCATAGTTCCACATAACTCTATGCACATGTCCATACGCCCACACACTTACACACACATACACCATCCCAGAATTCACCCTTCAGATAACCTTAGTTCGCCACCAGCCAATATCTAATTGCAAATGTACCCAGGCTTTAGACTAAACATCCAGATCGAATCAAATTACGTTATCAGTTCCTTACCACACTTTCGGACCCTCAATGGAAAATTACCATGAGAAAGAATCCCCAAAAGATTTAGACTAAACAATCGGATTGAGTCGCCGGGGCATTATCAATCAACATTCCAAAGGGCAATTTTAAAACTCACTCAATTAAAGCTAACTCCACGCATAGAAAGCTCTAAAGCTCAGAACCGAGGTATGATCATCAAAGAAGTTTAAGTTAAGAAGCGAGTTCAGTTTGAGACTTGTCTAAGGACAGTCGGTGTTCTTCCAAATAAAAAAATATTGTAATATTTTTTTAATTTAAATTAAATAAAGTTTTTTATACCCTTGTAGAGGGTATTATAATTTCAGTCAGATGTTTGCAACGCAGTGAAGGAGACGTTTCCGACCACATAAAGTATATATATTCTTGATCAGCACCAATAGCCGAGTCTATCTAGCCATGTCCGTCTGTCCGTCTGTCCGTTTCTATGCGAACTAGTCTCTCAGTTTTAAAGCTATCGCGATGAAACTTTCCCGAAGGTCTTCTTTCTATTGCAGGTAGTACATATGTCGGAGCCAGCCGGATCGGACCACTATATCTTAAGGCTCCCAAACAAATATAAGAAAATTCATTGTAACTTTGTAGGAAGTAGGCGTTTTGATTCTTGACTACTTAAAAACAAAATTGAAATAAATCGAAACGCTGAATCTGGAATCCCTGGAACTGCACCGAGTGAGTATTCTTTTATATACAAGGGTATATAAGCTTCGGCTGGCCAAAGGTAGCTTCCTTTCTTGTTTTATATTAAACTTATGGTGCAAACATTTTATTATATACTTTATGGGGTCGGAAACGTCTCCTTCACTGCGTTGCAAACTTCTGACTGAAATCATAATACCCTCTGCAAGGGTATAATTAAAAGCGTTGCCAAAATCTTAAGCTGGTCAGGCCAGCACGAGAGAGTGATGCAGCAATACATACATATGTGAAGACCACAACGTCGCAATCAGCAAATCGAATAAACACAAGAGAGAACGCTATAGTCGGGTTGATGTCCCGACTATATAATATCCGTCACTCAGCTAAAGGGAGTGCGAGGGAGATGGATATAAAAAAATGTTGCTTGTGCATAACTTTTTAATGAATAGTCCGATTTGAAAAATGTCTTCTACATTTCGATAGATATAAATATTCACAACAAAATTGTATTTATACTTCTCGGAAATCTTCAAAGGTGTGGACGCCAGACACTTTAAAATCGTTGGTAGGCGGTTGTGGGCGTCAGAGAGGGCGTGGCGCTCGGCTGAAATAAACTTGCGCTGCGTTGGAAACCCAAGAATATGTGTGGGTAATCCCACTTTCTAGCTTTTGTAGTATCCGAGATGTCAGCGTTCATACGGACAAACAGACAGACGGACATGGCTAGATCGACTCGGCCCTGATCAAGAATATATATACCTTATGGGGTCGGAAACGCTTCCTTCTACCTGTTACATAATTTTGAACGAATACAATATATCCTTTTACTCTATAAGTAACGGGTATAAAAATGTGAGACTTGGTGGAGGGGTCTGAATTTCAAAATAATTTAAATGCAGGTTTTTTGAAGTATGCTTTAAGATTATGAACAACACATTTAGAAAGCGGTTTAACAACTGTTTGCCCATAGAAAATAAGTTATTGAAGCAACATATAGACCCCGGCAGAACTTATCGTTTTCAAAAAATAGACACACGATGTTCTCCTTTACGCAGTTTTATTCCAAGTGCCGTCTGAGTCAATTCGACGTGGGTCGAAAAAGCTAACTGCGATCAGGGATTCTTCGAGTGCAACTTAACATAGTAAATAAACATTTACATGATCATAAATTAAAAAATCAAGAAAGGAAGCTATACTTTTGCAGATAAATTAAATACCATTATATTAATGCTGATTCGATCGGTGCAGGTTTAGGGATTCCATATATGTTATGGCCTATTAAAAATGTGGTTTTTAAGTTGTCAAAAATCAAAACGCCTACTTCCTAAAAATTTACAATTAACTTTAGTATATATATTTAATTATTCCTATGGGAGCCTTAAGATATAGTGGTCCGATCCGGCTCGCTCCGACATATGTAGTACCTGCAATAGAAAGAAGACTTTTGGGAAAGTTTCATCGCGATAGTTTTAAAACTAAGAAACTAGTTCGCATAGAATTGGACAGACGGACATGGCTAGATGGACTCCGTTATTGGTGCTGATCAAAAATATATATATACTTTATGTGGTCGGAAACGATAGGTCGAATGATAGAGGATTGAAATATAACGGTATTTTTTTATCTCTTACCTTTTATTTTTAAAAAATATTTTTATAAATTAGCTCCGATTTTTCAGTTATGCATAGCTTGAGACTCGTTTGAGTTATTTTAATATTTGGTATTGCAACTTTGAGAGATATTTTTAAATTTTTAATTTTAAAATTAAGTATTTTTTAAGAGAATTTTAAATTAAATTTTAATTAAATTAATTTTTAAATATTCGAGCTCTCCGGTGCTCGTATTGCTGTTCTCTTCTTACACGTTGCGCTGTTGTCTTTACTAGTAGGTCTTGCAAACAGGGTTCGTAAAATATCCCTCACAATCTGTCATTTTGCTCAAACAAAATAATTTCAAAATAGGGCGGTGATATTTGTCACAATAAAATGAGGAGTAACCAAGCAGGGCTGATGAATATTTTTCTGAAAAAAATCACAACTGCTTTATAGGAAAAATACATTTTCCTCATTTTTGACATACTGTGAGGAAAAACTGAGGAAAATATTAACCAAATTAATGCTACTAACACCAAGTTTGATTAAAATACTTTTTTTTATTATCTAGACTTTAATACAATTCATATGTTTGTAAACGCAGGTTACATCTTTTGAATCTTCTGTTAAGTCTACCACCGATTAAATACTTTATTTCTGCCCATTATAGATCGAAGACGCTTGAGTTGTTGTGCTATTTGTCTTCGACAATATTATCAATGATCATTTCATCACTCGTGAGGGATATTTTTATACCCTTGTAGAGGGTATTATAATTTCACTCAGATGTTTGCAACGGAGTGAAGGAGACGTTTCCGGCCACATAAAGTATATACATTCTTGATCAGCACCATAAGCCGAGTCTATCTAGCCATGTCCGTCTGTCTGCCTGTCCGTCTGTCCGTCTGTCCGTTTCTATGCGAACTAGTATCTCAGTTTTAAAGCTATCGCGATTAAACTTTCCCGAAAGTCTTCTTTCTATTGCAGGTAGTACATATGTCGGAGAGAGCCGGATCGGATCACTATATCTTAAGGCTCCCATAGGAATATTCAAACAAATATAAGAAAATTCATTGTAACTTTGTAGGAAGTAGGCGTTTTGATTCTTGACTACTTAAAAACAAAATTTAAATAAATAGAAACGCTGAATCTGGAATCCATGGAACTGCACCGAGTGAGCATTCTTTTATCTACAAGGGTATATAAGCTTCGGCTGGCCGAATTTAGCTTCCTTTCTTGTTTTCCCTCACTTCTTAATCATTTTATTTTCCTCACTCATGATGAATATTTGAATGAATTTGAATATTTGAATGAGCAAAGATGACAATTTGTTTGTATCGTGATTGATATTTATTTATTTTCATCATAGTCGGCTTGTTTTTGAGGGATATTTAAAATGAGTGCTATTTACGAACCCTGCTTACAAATACAAAAATTTTATTTTTCCACATCGTGAAGAATTGATGAAGCAACATGAGGATAATTATTTTATTTTCGGAAATCGCC